GCGCCCCGGAAAGCGCGAGCCGCCGGTGCCCGCTGCGCCAGAAGCTGCTGCAGGCGCTTGAGAGGGGTCTACGCAGCAGCCGAGCAAGAGCGTGCCCTGCTCCTTGGGGGTGCTGTGCTGCCGAAAAGTTATCGCCGAAGTGGGTTTCTGATTGCCTTAATTCAGAATTTTTCCTGCCTAAGAACTTCAGAGCTAGGCTGAAGAGGAGAAGGACATCTCACAGGCCGTCCAGAGGCAGCACGGAGACTCCATGCAACCGCCCCTGGGGTCTGGGCCGCACCAAAAGCAGCAGTGTGTTCAGCCCCGACGCGTGTTTAAGAACAGCGTCATCCAGAGCAAGCAGCTGTAGATGAAAACAAGGCTGAATTTCTAAATTTGGAGTATGTTTCCTAGCATCTGATCCGAAGAAGTTACTCGCACTCCCCCACCTCCTGTAGTTAAACAGTTGCATCTGAATCCATTTTGTCTTCGTTTCATTACCTTCTGTTGACAATACTTTCCTAATTGTTCTCTTCTTCGTCTTCTTCAGCGATATATCTCGACCTAAGTAAACTAGCCCCTGCACGCAAGGTGAAGGAAGCAGCGTGGTGCTGTGGATGGAAACTGTGTCCAGGTGGCTCCTGCTGGTACTGCTCCCGTGGCAGGGGAGGCCTCAGGCTTGAGGTCCCTCCAGTCCTGCCTGCTTTATGGGAACGCCGATGGGAATCCCCTGGAGATAAGAGAGAGCAGGGACTCAATTTTTAGAGGAGTTACGATGCCTAAATATTTTTTTGCAAAGTGCATGGGCAGGTAAGCTAGGGAGCTATAGGGAGGAACCTGTGGCCGTAACGATGATCGTAAGATGCCAGAAAACCCCAAGGTATGATTTTGACATTTTCAACGGGGGAAGTATTAGATCCACAGTACTATTTCTGTAGCAGCTTTTGGGTACTTACGTTTTATAACCCTGTATGCACTTGCAAGATAGAAGGCTTAAGACTCGATTTTGCGTCGAAGTCACAGAGTATTAGGCTGCTTTGAAAACCTTTGAAAATATCTTCAAATGGCCTTCATCATTTTGAACTGCCTTAATGCCATTGAAAGCTGGCCCTAACGTAGAGTGCAGTTATGGCACGATATAAATAATACTACTGTTCAAATGATACTCTACCTATTAGCAATCTTGAATTCCTTGCCCTCTTGAATTCTCGAACACCTTGCCTTTTAGGCAGCTTTCGTGACTGTCAGCACTGGGCTTGCAAGGCAATTTCAATTCCTAATCTGCAAATTGCTCTGTGACCTGTTGGCTTCTTTATTTAAAAGTCTGCCTTGTGGGTGATGGTGATGTCGGAAACAGGGGATTATGACATCTTGATGCAATTACACCGGAGCTGAAGCAGAGCCATGAAGGAGGATGAACTTTTATTCAAACATCTGTCAGCCGTGACATAGACCAGGAGAGAGAAAATTAAGATTATTTTGCTCTTTGATGTTATGTTACCACTGCATTCTTGAATTACATTGAAAAATTAATCTGCACAGCAATGTATCACAGGATGATGAAGATGCAGCTCTTTTCCCTTATGTCACCCCGTGATTGAATTTAGGGGCTATAGGAAAGAGCTTTGCATTTCAAGATTTCCTGGCAGGAGGGGATGACGTTTTACCTGTTCTTTTTTTTTTCAAGAGTACTGTGGTGTTCAGTCTAATACCATTTTCTTTTTTATAATCCCAAACCAACATTTATCCGTAAACACGGTGTATTTGTAATTCGAAAATATTTCTGAGCATTAGTATACAGTGATCTCTAGCGTGTTGTGGTTTCATGTATGTTAAAAATCTTCAGTAAACCAAAACCAATTGCTTATTTAATTCTGGGAGTGGTTAATGACAGGTACGTATTCTTCAGATCAAGAGTATCTCTCTGTACTTCCAGAACAGTCAGCAGTGGGATGAATTTCTCGACTGAACATTCCAGTGTAAATCCGAGCCCTTCACTTTGCACCCAGTTTGTGCTGGTTTAGCTGTGGATTTACTTTGCACTTCCAGGCAGTTTGTGCTGGGTTAACAATGAAACCTCATATGCCTATACTGAAAGAAGAGGTAATCCTTTTTGCCTTCGTTAGGTAAATTTTTAAATTCTTGATGTAGAAAGAAAGAGGACTTGAGTGCCTCACCAGAAATGTCTGACTTTCCTTCTGTGATACTCACTAGTGGTGAGCAATGGAGGATTCAACACAAAGGTAAACTGATCTCAAAGAAATTCAGGAATCGGTAGTAAAAAAAACTTCTATAACAAAGCCTTCATTCAGACAACTGGCTGGCAGCTTCATTATTGGCAGGCCAAATCTGTATAAAGGATGGAGGAAGCAGAACAAATGACGCCTGTTGTGTTCTCCCCTAAGAAAAAAGGGTTGCTCATAAAGTTGCAGCCCCTTTTCTAGAAAGCAGCCAGCTCCAGCCTCTCAGGGTGTTGCTCTGGTAGATCAGTTTCATATTCCTTATTTACGCTCAATCTAAATAATCGTTAGAAATGGAAGTTAAAAGATGCTTTAGGAGCTTGATTTTTCTGCTAACCTGTGGCTGATAGTCCTTTACTCCCATGAGCGGTAGTTATAAGTGGCTCCTGGGTATGTCTTTCTGCTTGTTTCTGCTGACTTCTTAGAAGCATGTATTCCCCAGATTTGGAGGTGTTTCACTGTAAGGATAATGCTGTGGAAAGAGTCTGTAGCTCAGTAGGCTGTCTCCTCCCATGCCAGATGTCTCTCTCAGGCCAGTTTTTTCTTCGCTAGGGCAAGAGACAAGCTGATTGCCATTGATTTACCTTTCTGAGGGTGTTCTGGTATCTTACAAGCAAAGGCATGGTGCCTCCGTCCTTTGGGACCAGAAGCCCGAGTGTGGTCCCTCACTCATCTTTAGCAAAGAGCTGGCATGAATTTATGTGACCTGCCCCAGCGTGAAGTGGTCCTGCCATTGCAGCTCAGGCTGCTGGAGTATAAAGTTAGTCTGGGAAGAGAAGATCCGTATTGCTTAGGGCCCAGGGGAAGTGGGGCTCGTCTCTGCCCCTGCAGGGCATTGGCCGAGTCACTGAAGCCAGACAGGTGACTTGAAACCACTTTCCAAGGTAGACGCGGAAGAACGGGCTGTGCTGTTTCAGACCCAGGGCGGTCTCTTTTTGACAGTGACCGGTAAAGTAAATAATTGTGTGAATACTGTATGTAACTCACATATACCAAATAAAAGCTGCCCTGGCACCACAATGATGGTGTTTATTAACAATGAGTATTTTTTTTTTTTTGGCACCTAAATGTTGCTTTTTAAATGTAGTTGGTTTTGAGAGCTGAGCGTATACAAATTAGGCAAAGCTTGGTGTGCCAGCTGGATGAGCAAGAACTGTTCTGTACTTTCTATTATTAGACCCTGATTTCAGGTTTTTTGTATGTTTTCCTAACTTAAGGCATCTGCCTTGAAATTTTCTATGCCTTGCCTGCTTCTGAGAAAAACAAGAAATGAAAAGTTTGCTGTTTAGTCGGCGATAAAAAATTGTCCCACTGCTCCAGCGAGCTCCGGTGCCTTCGAGCGAGTTCTTGAAACTGGAGAGGAGCACGTGCGAGGGAGAACTCCTACACTGGCGGGGAAGCGCCTTTTCTTCCCTTGTGCAGCTCTGCCCACGCTGATTGAAGTTACAGCCTTGTGTTCAGTAGCTGCTTTTCTCAGCCTAACATCGATCTCCTTTACAGGGTATCTTTTGCAGAGGTCAAGAGCAGAAAGCACCCTGGTGCTTCAGGGTGCCGGGAACATCCCATGCCCAGAGAAGAAATTGAACTTGGGCAGGGAACTGCAGAAAGATATAATCTTGGGGCTAAAGTTGTCAAATGCTGACTTGTAGAACCAGGTTTTATCCATTTCTCTTCCCTGCACTGCCTGAAGGTTGCAGAGCAAATGACTTAAGCCACTTCTCACAGGCCACGTCACTTAACGTACCATGGGTTTTGTTAGTCTAACCTGAAAAACTTGTGGTCGGATTGGCAAAAGTACTTAGTACTCACAATTTTAATCAAAAGGAATTGTACTTTGAATACAGCAAAATGCTACAAATCCTAAATACTCTGAAAATCAAGCTTTGAGTGTCTTAAATTAGGCACTTAAAATCGGTGGCCATTTCTGATTATTTTTAATCATTATGTTATTGTGCACTGCTTCACCAGGATGCCAGCTTATGTTAAGTAAGTCTTTTGCGCCTGTAATGATGCATTATAAAAAGAGACTAAAAGAGCATTAAGTTATGCAGATTGCTATAAAACGTGTGCAGTAACTGCTGTCTGAATATGTATGTAATTCATATTGCAATCCATTTTCCTTAGTTCAGATTAAAAAAACCAGATGCTAAGCATCCTGTCGTATTAGTGAAACGTCCATGTACATAGAGAGGTTTTCTCCGCCATGTGCTCCTAATGTAGCATTTACTTCCTGAAGACATCACTGAGAGTCAACTAAAATTTAAGTAGATACTACTTCGCTTAACAAAATGTGCACTAATGAACACGTCCTGTCTTTCAGGAAGTTGCACAGTGGTGAATCAATACCTTCACCGAGGAAAAACATGGTTTATATAAATAATCACTCAGCTTCCCCTGATAAATAACTGACCTTCTCTTTTGTTAATTGAAGAAGAATACGATGAGCCTCCACGGTGCAAGGCGGGACAAGATATTGTGCTGCAGTCACCTGTCGAGTGGGTGCTTTTGGATGGCCGAGAAAGCTCAGATGACCGTGGAATTGTGCAGTACGAGTGGACGCTGCTGCAAGGTGACTCATCGGTTGAAATGAAGGTATGTGTGCAGCCTTGCACATGGCCAGTCATTTGCAGATCGTTGTGTTCATTATAGCACGGTTTTAAATGTAGAGCTAAAAATATTAAATGTATTCAAATGGATATGGCTACGAGGTGCCAAAATTAGGATGACTGTACAACTTGAGCATTTATTTCAGAGAACCATAGAGCAGCCCAGGTTGGAAGGGATCTCAAAAAATCATCTGGTCCAACCTTTTGTGGGTCAGGGAGCCTAGATGAGATTATCGGGTGCCCTGTCCAGTCACATTTTGAAAACCTCCATTCACGGGGACTCTACCATCTCCCTGGGGAGATTGTTCCAGTGATTATTTCTAGTGTTTTATACGGTTCATCTGTATCCAGGGTGGCATGAGACAGCCAGTAGCAAACAAGTAAATGCTAATACTCTACCGTATTTCGGCTCTGCTCTCTTTCGCCATTGTGTGTGCTCACTGCACTTGGTTTTCGGCTTCTGTGATCCAGGTTAGAGACACTCTAGTAAGTCAGTTACTAAAAATGATATTTTCACCAACAGTCTTGTGGCAGTGCTTATGGAGAAACTGCAAAGAAATGTGTGATGTAGACCTTATAACATATCTTGAGATGCTGTTTTATTGCATTTGTACAATTTCTGTGCATCTGTGCAATTTGGTTTCAACTTAAAATTAACCGTCATGAGAGGGATTCTCCATCCTACCGTTCTTTGTGAATGCTCTAGGAGAAGCAGAAAAGGAAAGGAAAAATGTCTCAAACCCATAGAGTCTACTCACAGTCTCTTCACAGACCACAATATTCAGGGCTCAGTAGGGCCTCCACCTAGAGCAGGAGGGACATGTTAAAGGGGAAGGGGTGTTGACCATAGACCTTGCTGTTGCTGAGATGCTGCCAGTGGATAGGAAGAGTTTAAACAGGACAGGGTGAGCAACGGGAATAGTCCAAAACCCAAGAGGCCATGTGTACCCGTGCCACCATGAGCAGTACCTGACAGTTGCTGCTTATGTCTGCTCAGCTAAGTAGCATCAAAGACAAGTTGGACAAACTAGCAATATCAGCAAAGTTACTCAGGAATTGCAAGGATGGAGCAAACCAGAGTTTTGTCTAGCATGAAGAGCTGGCTAAATGCATTGAAACCTAAAATGGTCATCCATGGAAAAACTCAACGGAGCAGTTGGTTATTCCTTAGTCTCCTGGAGGGCAGCGTAGGTAGCATGTAGGTAATTGAAAATCACCATGTCGTGGTTAGGAAACAGGCTGCTGGATGAACCCTAAGAAGACAGTTGGGTTTCTCTGGTGAATAGTTACTGAAATTTATGCGCAAGTAATTTTTTGTAAGCATACTTCTTGCAGAAAACACAGCAGGGTGCTCAAAAGTGTCAGTTAAGCCAGTGCTACCTACTTTTGCAAATTTTCTCTTCTACTGCAAGATCCACATCTGTGGAAAGGTGACTACAGTCAGCCAGTTCTGAATTACTTGAGGCTGTATCACAATTCGAAACTATGTCAAAGACCACCGTGAGTTTGTTTGTCTTCATTTATTATTTTATTGGCTTGAAAATTAGAAAGTCAAAAGGCTTTCATAAGGAGTGCAAACAGCATAATACATAGAAAAGACCTGAATGAAGCTTTAAGAATAGTTGCTAGATATCATCTGGATAAAATGAACATTTTATTATCAAGAGTTGTTAATCTGACCCTTTGCAGCAGCATTTTCTGTAGACAGCAATCAAATACTCTTTAAATTTATCTCTGGTGTAGTAATATATCTAGAGTAACACAAAAAATAAAGTTAATTAAAAAATTTAAAGTGCATGTTTTTACTTTTACTCAGAGGCACTCCATAAAATGGAGACGAGTCTTATATTTATGTAAACCTGCAAAATTAACATTAATCTTGGTGATTTCTTTCTATTTGATAAACGAAAACGATCTTGACACAGGTTTATGTTTAGATAGATACTTTTCCATTGTGTTCAAATGGGCAGGGTTTTCTCTCACAGATGTGTACCCTGATGATTATCCATGATAATTTAATTTTTAGAGTTGAATTAATAATTGTGATTATTCGTACAATCTTCAGTTGCTATCTTTAGTACTTCAGTTGCTATCCTGAAGTTACTGGATTTCATATCGTCTGTTCCTAGAGAGCTATATATGAATCCGTAGCTACGAGGGAGAATGGGGCTGTGTTTGAATAAGATAAAAGGCAGCTGTTGCACTACACTTACGTACCGAAGAATAAATAGAAGGCGCAGGAGGGGGAAGGACTGCTATAAAGAGATCTTATCATATTGTAGAAGGAAGCCAGTGGAAATTTTTTTTCTATTGTGACTGATTATTGCTTCTTAGATAATGTGCTTCTCAGATTGCTGCCCACGTGCTGTAGCTGCGCAACTCTGTGACACCTGCGGGCAATTCTTGGGCTTTTTAAATGCTGGTTATCTGGAAATCTACTGTCTAGTTTGAGCCAAAGTTCGTAAGAAAGCAGGTACAGTTGGGCATTCTTCAGGGCAGGACGGAGGGAGATGAAAAGGAACGCACAGAGGTGGCCAGGAGGAGCGGCGGCGTATTCGGAAGTCAGTGGTGTTTCTCAGGCTCTGCACTGAGAAGAGAGGTGGACTCCATGGCTCATGGGTTTTAAATACTGTATTTGGTCTCCCAGCAGCCACAGTTAACGGCAGCAGGTGGTTTTTAGAGCATATTTATTTCTGTAATAAAATAAAGAATAAAATTCTAAGGTGTCATATACTCCATCAGGAGGTAATCAACAGCAAGATCAGATAACTGAGTGCATTCAGATAAACAAGAAAAGGAAAGAAATTTCAGTTAGGAAATTCACTTACCAGATGAGAAAAATTAGTTTATCAATACACCCTGCTATAAAGCTAGGTCTAGGACTCTATTATTATATTTATTGAAAATTCCTGTTCTCTTTTAGGTGTGAAAACCAACTTTAAATAAGCAAAACCTAAGGTCTTTACTGAATTTTGGTTTTAGTACTAAAGATAGTCACAGAGTCTTTTAAGGTACCTTTCAGTTACTTATAAAGATAGCCCTGTGTGCTTCATTTGTAAAAATACACTACATGTCCAATAAGCCTGCAGAGCGTCTTTGTAGTTACTGAAGTATGTGTTACTGAATTCTCAGACAGCTGGAGTTCTTTGTGACTAGTAGTTGTCACAAGGTTAGGAAAAGTTCAGCATTTGCTACAGGCACCATACTCATTTTATACAAACTTATTTCTAAACGACCATTGTACTAGTAATGCCAGTTTGGCACCTGTTTTACATGATCATAAAATGAGTTATTTTACTATTTTTTAAATTATCTAATCCAATTTAAATTGTTTCTATCTCTCCCTCTCTCACACGTGACTTTTTGAAACCTAATGTTTAGGTCGTTCACTATAGATGAACTTATTTGCGGTTCAGAGCCAGGCATGGACATTCAGCGTGGGGCATGGAAAAATTCAGTCTGGCAGTTTGTAAAAGTTGCCAGTGACTACGTTACATGCCATACTGGACAGAGGTGGGCAGTCTTATTAATAAAGCAATGCTATCAGTCACCTTATCATAAATCGATGTATAGCAAAAGTAACTTCTGTGAATACGTGTATATTGTCTAAAGACTAACTCGACAGAGAGCAAAATATTTTACTGCCTACCCTCTAAAATTACATTTCTAACTACTGAAAAATTGAGTTAAATTTATGATTCTGTTTATTCTCCAGTGCTAAGACCCACAGCTCCAGGTAATTGAGTGTACCATGAAAAACAGTACGTAAACGTCAAGCATGTTTATTTTTACAAATGGATGCAAAAAAAAAAAAGACCAAAACATTACAGGTTGATACACATGTTTGATTGGGCTGGCTTATACCTTTATACCTTTTTTTTCCCCCCGCTGTGTTTCTTTAATCAGGTACCACAGCCCGGAACACTGAAGCTCTCTCACCTCCAGGAAGGCGGGTATATTTTCCAGCTAACTGTGACAGACACGGCAGGTCAGCGGAGCTCTGACAACGTCTCTGTGACCATTCTGCCCATGGTTCATTCTGCAGCAGGTGAGAAAATGACTGTAGCCATTGCCTGTGTACGTGACGCTCGGGGTATGATATTCAGAGCAAGGGTCCTACGGAGGCAGAAATCTTGTTCTCCGTTTCTAGTGCATTATTTTGCCCCTATTCATTACATAAGGACATCTCTTTCAGTTTTGAATTGCTGTTTCAAACTGAGGAAGGAAGCATCACTTGTTTTGTTAGAGCAATAATACCTTCAAGCACTTAAAAGTTCAGCCGTCTATTGCTAATAAGCATGCAGGGTTGGAAAAACGAAATGCTGGCGTATTTATCAGGCACATCGTAACAGTTCATTGTATAGTCAGACGGTGCGTGGAACGTGACAAGGCTCGTGCTATAGGGAAGACCCAGTTAAAAGCGCTTAATAGTAGGTGTGACACACAAACTAATAATAATATTTATTGGCCTGTGTCTGTAGTCTAAAAGATGGGACGGTTTCTTGTTTTCATGCATTTAAGCTTTTCTGTGTAATGGTCATTATCAAAGCCTTATGTTACTGGGGAAACTGAAACTGGAATTGACCCATCGTTTTAGAACTCTGAGCTCGAGAAACATGTAAAAAGCATAAAAGGTAGAAAGTAAGTTAGATTTCAGTGGCTGTCAATTCTGCACTCTTTAATGTAATAACTTCTAATTACATTGTAGTTAGCAAGTTGCTGATAGAGATCTGCTGCTCTGGCACGAAGTAAAGGTTAAACTAGCATCATGACTATGTTCAGCTGAACCAGTAAAAACTTTGCTCTGCACCAGTGCGGTATCTCTACGTGAGAAGGTAGTCCCAGTGGCAATAAACTGGTATTACAAAAAACCTGTTATGAGTCTGTTTAGTAAGGCCTGTATTCCAGTAATGGATGATAGAGTTGTATTCATTAATGTTTAGTTCAGGTAAAGCAGCCAGAGATGTTTGCTGCTTTATTTATTTGCTGCTGTGGGTATCTGTGGTGTCTTTCGGGTGGAGCACGTAGAGGATTTGCTGCCTTTTTTCTTCTTCTAATTCCCCAAGTCCATTTGCAATTCAAGTGCTACTGCTATAGTTAAACGAGTCCACGGTGCCTTAATGCACGCAAGACCGGTGCTATTATTAGTGCTGAAGTTTAGGAGATGCATTTTCTAAGTATGATTTTAGGGGTTTTAAATAAGCACCTGTGTTCCTGCCGTACTTTCCTTAGCATTGCACAGCTTTTTGGACCATAGCAGGATAACCACCGAAGGCTGTGACTTCCTTATGCAAATCGATTTGCTGTTACAACATTAACCAAACACCGAATTTGATAGTGCTTTACAGAGCATGAGCTACACTGCTGTTGAAAAGACAAAAGCACAGATGTAAACACTTGATAATTACAAGGTCAGACTGGGTTTCAGGAAAGCTTTGAGTATGCATAATGAAATGTTCAGGGACACTCTCCATTTCCAGGGGAGTCTAAATATTAAAGCAGGCAGCAATCAGTTCTTTCTGGTGAAGGTCACTTGTGAGACCTTGTGCTTAGTCCTGTTCTGGCATGTGCTGTATTGGATTTACATTGCTGATAGAAATAAATGACGAGCATTCTTTTAGTATTTTAATCAGGTTGCAGAAAACATGTCATAAAAGGTCCCATATAGTCCATATGTGTGCATGTAAAATAACATATTGTCAGAAATACAGAATGGGTATGTAGTAGGAATTATGTGCTGGAGAGATGCAGTTACAGCCATAGAGATTTCATTTATTTATTTTCAGGACTGTCCTGGGTCTTTTAAGCCTGGGAAGATCTCCTTTCAGCTTAGGCCAATAGAGTTTAAAGTGCTGTAGGGGTGCTGCACAAGGTGTAGGGTGCAACAGCCTCCAGGTTGAGTATTCCTGTAGTAAAGAGATTGCCAGAATAGTGATGAGGGTGCCCGGAACAGCTATTAGCTATATTAGCTTCTGTGTCAATATAGCGTCATATAGCTGAGCCTGGCCTTCCTTGAACTTTCTGCCTTGTTCGTGGTCCTTCCTGACATAGCGTGGGTTTGCTTTTCCCGTGGTGCTGCAGATTTTAGTCACTGACTCAGTATTTGCTGCTTGGATTTCTCTTCTGGTAATTTGGGAACTGTTCCTCAACAGCCTGTGTCAGGTTCTGCTCTCGCTACCAGTTTACGTGCGATGATGGCTGCTGCATTGACATCACGTTTGCTTGCGATGGCGTGAGACAGTGCCCTGATGGATCGGATGAAACTTTCTGCCAGAACTGTAAGTGCGCTGGGCCAGAGAGTAGATTGTGAAAGTAACGGCAGCCTGAATGACCGAAGGGGAATGATGCCCCTTCTGTGGCCTCTCTCCCCGTGAGCAAGCAGCTTGCGCCCGCCGTAGAGCCCTTCACTGGAAATAGCACACGGGAAGGTTTAATGTCCGCAGACAGCAGACGCTCAGAAATTAACTCCCTTTTCTTCAAAGCATATCAAAGCTGTCAAAGGTCCCCAAGTGACTGATTTTGAGAGTTCTCAACATTTAAAAGATGAGTTCTTTACTTGCGTGATGATTGCATGTGTGATGGTCTTGATCTGAAAGGGTGTCGCAGAGGTATGCTTCAGAGTGCGGTTACGCACCTTGCAAGAATCTGAAACACTGGAAACGTGAGCACGGAGGGGAACCAGTTGATTCACCATCGCTCTGTCCGCTTTCATTAGTCATCCTCAGTATGTGCCCATCCTTAGCTAAGTGAACAAAAATCGTCAGCAGGTGAATTGGCACGATGGCTAACCACTCTTTCATTGATGTTTCAGTCGCTGGATTTCACTTTAGGGTTTATGTGTATACTCCTGCTTAAGAATGGACAGTGGGCAATTGTTAACTTGCTACGTATCTGGAACTCACATTTCATCGTATGTCTGAACCTGATGAGCTTGTTTAGCCTGCCCCAAGGCCCATAGTGCAGGGTTCCACCAGAACACTCCCATTCCCTTCAATTCTATCTAAAACGTTTTTGTTTCTGTTGACGCAGTCAGCCCGGGCCGGAAGACGGTGACGCACGCGGCTCTTGGCACTACCCAGCAAAGGACTGTAGGTCTGACAGAAAACACAGATGAAAACCTCTCTGCAGAAAACACCCTGAAAGCCACGGCCAGAAATCAGCCGCTTCCTTCCGTGGATGCAGACACGTCTAACCAATCGCTTTCTCAGGGACTAAAGAAACAAATCAGTGGGTTTGTGCCAGGTAAGAATTGAAATGAACCAGTTTCAATAAATCTTTCTCTCTCGAGGAAGAAAATGTCTTGCACCTTAAATGTAATTAAATTGTCTTTTGGTGCCTGGCTAAGAGTAAAAGTTTGCAAATGGACAAAATGCAAAAGAAGCTTGTAATAATTAAGTTACAACTAGGTATTGCTTTATAAAGTCAAGTCTGGTTCTCACCAGGTGCAAAAAGAAAGTTAAAATGCAGAAATGTTAAGAAAAGAATACAGTCTTAAGGAACAAAACGTGCAGCGAGCTAAATACAAATTCTGCCACAGGTTCAGCTGTGTAAGCTGATGTATAAGGCTTTTTAAATCTGTAGGGGGGCACCTTCAGGAAAACATAACAAAGTACTGTTCAACTTGGGTGAGAGAAATTGCATCTCTCCTGGTGCTAACATGACTTTTTTCCCCCCCCGAAGTAATATCTTGATTATTATGGGCACCTTTTTTCTGAAGTGTGTCTCCAGGGCAGGAGAAATCTTTCACCACTATAGAGAAGGCTCAGTCTTTGGTAACAAGCAAGCCCGGGTCCCCAGTAGTACTCTGTAGTGGCTGCAAGCCTGTTGTGAGTCAGCGTGCAGTGATGTTACAGGTAGAGTCACCAACCGTTGCCTTGGTGAAACTCCAGAAGCTGCAATGAAAATGGTTCTTGCTGGTGAATTAAAATGAAAATGGTTCTTGCTGGTGAATTAAAATGACCTGAAATGGCAATTGAATGAAAGCAAAGCTGTGTGCACAGAGCCTAAAACGAGCGTGAGAGCTCCCGCTTTTATTTCTTCAGAGTTCAGACTGATTCTTGCTGCCCAAGGTGCAGCTGATGATAAACAGCTTTATTTTCTTGTTACAACAGAGCAGTGCCTAGTGCCCTCTGCTCCTGACTCGTGTGAAGGGCACTTCCCTGGTTGGCACTTGATGTTTCTTCAGATGCTTATATTTCATCTGTCGTGACCACAACGGGAGCAAAAGCAACGTTGTGCAAGAATTTGACTGCCTCAGTGAATGTGTAGGAACTGATAGCAAAATCCTCTCTCAAATGTTTCCCCCTTTTCTGGCAGCGTAGATGACTTTGGTGCTCCTTATTGGAATGACTTAAAATTCTGAAGTCTGCCCCAAACCCTTCTCGCTTGTGTAGTCCTGAGTGACACCTAATACGGGGCTACCCAAACTAAACATCAAATTGCCAAAGGGCATTGCAGGACCCAGTGGAAAGTCAGCTGCTAAGTAGGTCTCAAAAGCCATTGGGCTTGTGAATCCAGAAGTAAAACCAGAATTGAGGTCACCAGCTTCGGCAACCTATAATCGGAGGTTATAATTGGAAGTGCATGGAAAAGCATGGCACTTTTGCATAGTCATTTTCTGTGTTTACCTGTTGCACAGTAACTTACTTGCACCATTTTTGCTCTCAAGGTAGCCTTTTGCATAGCAGTAGACAGTAAAAGAAAAAAAATATTATAAAATCAAAGAATGTGACGGCTTCAGTGATTAGTGTAGTACCAGAAGCTGTTGTAATCTTTTTAATTTTAAACAGGCAAGATTTCCAGCTGACCATGTCCGTTTTTAATTCTTGTGGCTTTAATATTGCTCTTTTGACAAGGCTCAGTCAGAATTTAATTTCAGTTAAATGATACTTAAGTATTTCCTTGTAGAACAGAAGGACCCAGTCCTTACTGATCCAGGAGCCCAATACTTTTAACCAGAAAAGCAGCAAACAGCTCAGCAAGTTTTTAAATCACCTGTGGATCAGTTCCAAAGGGGGTGCATGTGGTGGGACATGAAGAGGTGCTAGGTGCCTGGGTCCAAAGGGCAACTGCCAAAATCTGCTCTGAGTTGCTGTCTTCTCATGCAGACACTGAAACTCCACAGGCGTCACATGCTGGACGTTAATGATTCCCCAGGGGCCCAGAGAGGTTCAGGTCCTGCCCCACTGGCAAGCACCACAGTCTGTATGGAGTTGAGGAGACAGGCATCTAGGCTATTCCTAAAAAAAACACCCAGATCCACTAATTAGGTTGCTCTCCATCACTGCCATCTCAAGGAGGTTACAGACCAAATGAGGTGCTACAAAAATGAGAGAGACAGAAACACTGGAGCAGCTCCATGAAGCCCGTCTGGAAAAGTGTTCAGGAGAGCAATACTTGCATACCATCTGCCTCAAAATTTCAGCAATTCCACTGGCAGAAACCCTGTTCTGGGATGGACTGTCTCCTGAGACAGTGCCGGACCCGCTGCTGGTGCCAAGGCAGAACCCGTGCCTCCCAGTCGCACTGGCAAGGTCTTTGTTGGAACAAGAAATGATGTTGCTTGTTAGCCTAGAGTTGACTTTGCAAGCATCCAGGCTCCTGATACACTATTATAAATAAATTTCAAAAATAAGCTTTAATGATTTTAACGTCAACATGGTGAAAAGCTCTGCACTTAAGATACATATTAAGGGCTGTGGCTTTACAGTGGCAGCACAGGTTCCGGCTTTTCACTTGAGAGTGCTCCATTCAGGGCTACGTTTGTCTTATTTCTTAGTTGGCATTCGCAGATCGTCATGGAAATACAAGCCAGGAAGGAAAATGGGATGCTCTTAGATCCAGTGACTGCAAGGCAGAGCAAGAGAAGGTGTTAATATTAAGGGTAATTTACCTAGCAGAGACAGCATGTGGCACATTCCAGGTGGCTGCTAGACATGATGATACAGGAGCTTTCAGCTGTTAAAGAACAGAAGTTTTTCCCAAGAAGTTGCAGGACTGGGGAGTTGCTTTGTTTTCTTCTTTGCGTTTGTTTTTATTACAGTGGTGGTTACAGTACCAATAAAGACAGGTCCCTTCTGCTACTCTGTCTCCCCATAAGCGGCTTTCATCTCTGAGCATCCAATAAAGATGTCCAGTAAAGGGACCTCCTTGTCAAGTTCCACCATATTTATCTTTTCTCTATTTTAAAAGGAGCTGGGCTAAGCTATAATGTTTTGGGCTGTGGGATAGTTCCTTGCAGCCGGAATATGAGCTTTCTGCCTACGAGGGTGATACTAGGGGAAAGTTGTCCCAGAATCCATTTCCCCTAATAGTTTCTCTGTTCCCAGTTTCCCTTAACCTGCTTTCTTTACTCCGGTAGCCCCTCATGTCTGGCTCTGACTTGATATAAGCTTTTTAAGGCTTTACACTTAAGTACGAAAATATGCAAGTCCAAGGTAAGGACTGTTTAAAACTTCTACCTGACCTAGCAGGGGATCTATTCACAGTAAAGAGGGGGGAAAAAAAAACAAAAAAAAACAAAAAACAAACCCAAAAGTCAGTCATTGTTGGCAATGGGTGAATCTTGTTCCGCACTGCTGCCTTTCCAGTGGGATTCCTCTACAGCAGGTGACTCCAGGGGAACACCAAGCCCGACTGAGAGAGAACCTCCTCAGGCCCTCAGGGCGGGGAGTCTTCTGCAGCAGACTCATGGTTCACTTTTGCCCAAGCTGGAAAGCTGAACGTTTTCTCCCGTAGCTGGGAGCGGATGCAGGAAGAGGCATTTGATGTCAGTAAAGGAGCCCTTTCCCTTTGCAGACATATCTCCATAGTGAAGTAACCCAGACTGCATCTCCACCAAAGGCCAGCGCAGCGTTTCTGCATGGCTGCCTCCGAAGCGCCCCGGCATCCTTTTCCAGGGAAGCTCTCAAGCCCAGCTGCATGTGCTGGCACTGCTGCCCTTGTAAATGAACACAGCAGAACTGTAGCTGCAGCAAAGCACGCTGGAGTGAGCAATGGGCTGGTTTCTAAGCAGCAATAGCCAGCCTAGCAAACATGGTCATGCAGACGGGTTGAATTCACAAGCAGCCTGAAGACTTGCACTCCCCAGCGTAGCCGAGTCAAGTGTATAAATCACCATAACAGCTTTGCATTCCCCTGGCACGGGGTCTCTGCCTCTCCCCAGGCTGCCCGTGCCAGCTCTTGTGCAGTACTGTTCAGGGCTGGGATTACAACGTTTGACTGAGTGCCCAAGCCTTAGTCATGTTTTTGCTGCGGAGGCATTGACAGCAGTAGCCATAACCTAGATCTCTAATTTAGGCTAACTGGAAAGGGCTATAAATTGCAATTTCCTAGGCACGGACTAGAAAATGAAGAGAAGGTGAAAACAAAACGAAACCCACATAACATGCTTTATGTCAGGCCCCTAAACCTGTTTGGGGAAATCTCCCTTAGTTTCTAGTTGATAACAGATAAGAGCACTGAGCAGCACTGACTCTGATAGCCCCTCCAGTCCTGTAAGAACAGCCACAGGTCTTAAAACCCTACAAGCTTTACTGAAAAAAAATTTTCCTGCTAAACTTCTCTCCAGATACATTTGCCAAATGTCTTTACAAGCAGTTGACTTAAATATTCCCTTTACTGAAATGGCAGGGAAACAAATTTATAAAACAAGCATTCAGATCTAGCCTTGTCATACAGGCTGGAGCAACTTTAAGAAAAGCTGATGTCTTCTGGGTATTTCCAAAATAAAGACAAGTACTCGTTTAATTTCATTTAGGGAAGACAGAAGCAGAAAACAGCTGCTGGTTTTGGTCTCAGTTACATTCAGGTTATTTTGCACAGCTCTGATGCCATACAGGTGCCTTAAAGCCAGTACAGGTTACACTTAGGATTTCCTTAGGTCCCCTTTACACGCCAGAACAACTTAAGGAGCCCGGATGAGGAGGAGGGCTGCGGCTTGTCTGTAAGGCATTTCCTGGCAGGGGAAGTTAGGGTTTATGCACCCTTAGCCGTAATGGCAGGGCAATATAGCCAGAGCCCGGGAGGCTGTGTTGTGCCCTGAGTGGGGACATTAGCGCTAACCTCATGCCAGTATCGATGGAGCAATTTAAGCTTTAATTAACGGTCGCGTGTATTTGCTGCTGCCACTGACAGGGACGCGTTTGGCAGCGCTTCGGAGCTGGTGGTGGTGGGTGGGAGTTACGTGTGGTTCATGCTCCAAGCTCATTGACTTAAACGCTTCCCTAACGCCCACCACTGTATGTAATTCCAATTACAACATTTCACGTTCAGATGTTACAGATCTTGTAGCATAGTATGTTTCCACAGGCATTGTCACAGTCCCAAGGGCTGCCAGCAAATATATCACAGCACAAAGTGCCCTTCAATATTTATCAGTAAAAAACCAAACACAGTCGTTACAGTTAAAAACATAAGCGTATTTCTGATTTTTGCGAGGCTGTGTTGGTGGATTAAGCTGCCACTCTTACACGAAGCGTCCCCATAGCTATTGGAGTAGGACTTCAGCGGGAGGGCCCGAGGAGGGAGTCCCAGCCGAGTTCCTCTTTGCTCCTGGGAAGCACAACTGCAGCCGCCTGCCCTCCCAAGACGAATGCTTCTTGGCAGCAAACTATGCCTTGGCTCTTCTTGTGTAGTTACAATGCTCTGCTCCATCTTCTCTACTACACAAAGCTGAAGCGACTACAAGTCATCCTCCTTGAAATGTTTTCCCCACGTATTTTTATGTTTTCCAAGTACATAAGTTCTGCACCTCTATGTGTCAGGTAACAGGCAAAATTTTGTAATTTTTTTTTTTAATTTGTGTAGCCAACCTGTGCTTTTCCTGCTTTACAAGGTCCAAGGGTAGAGATCAACATAACTTGAAATGGCCTCATTTTCACCTATATATAACTGCTTTCGTAATGTTTTAGGTCAGATGGGTCTATACCCCATTATGGAAGTTCGTAAAAGAGAGTTTATATCCACCTGCTTCTTAGTGGAAAAATGGCCCACTTGGGTTTGGTTGATGCGATGCAAAATTGCATTTACATTTTAGCTTTAGTTTCAAATTACTTCAAAAATTCAAGTTATACGATAGGAGTCAGAAGTTCTTAAACTGTTTTCATTAAATTTAAGCGCTTTCACATTATTTAATTCTAGTGTCCTGTGGATAAACCTTCCTGAGTGACTGAGCTGTAATATTCATTTATCTTGCTTTCTAGTGTCCTGTGGATAAACCTTCCTGAGTGACTGAGCTGTAATATTCATTTATCTTGCTTGACTTTGTGCAGATAACAGTTCCTCAGGGAAAAGAACAGATGATAAAAATGGGAATGGCATAATTGTGCCAAAGAGAGACCAGCTTGGAGGTGGTCGTCCAGTCCCAGAAACAGGTAAGACAGACCATGTGGATTCATTTTGAATCATGTTCGTTTTTCAGCCAGGTGCTATAGACCCAGATACTATTTTCAAGAACTGGATAATGTATTTCCATATTCTGAACTGTTACTAACTTGTATGATCATGCAGTTTAGTTTCTCAGCATGAGTTGCTCCAGATATTAGCATCTAAGTGATAGACTAGCTGTATTTTTAAAGAAAAATGTCAGGTTTTCTCTACCGGTTTCTTGCTGTATTAAATAAAGTGTAATTTCTCTTAACCTCGGTTGTAGGTGCTGTGTTACCCTTAGCCTTAGGCTTGGCCATCACTGCTTTACTGCTGCTTATGGTTGCTTGCAGACTGCGTTTAGTGAGACAGAAGCTTAAAAAAGCTCGACCCATTACGTCTGAAGAGTCCGATTACCTCATCAATGGGATGTATCTCTAAAAAGCGGATTTATGTCAGTTGTTTTCTCCCCTTTCTCTTGTGTCCACGAACCTCTGCCTCTATGAAAGGACCAAAACCTTTAGTTAAGTTTCAAGTGTAGAAGAAGCCTACGAGATGAGGAACATGTTCTTCCCCTTCAGTGATAAAATAAAAAAGTGGGCAGATGCCCGTGCTCAGAAAATAAGAAGCGCTCAGGCTCCGGAGAGTAGCTCCAGCTGGCTCTTGTGCAGAAGACACAGCAAGGTGGGGACACCCCAAACTGGATGCGGGGTGCCCTTGCCCTTCCCACAGCCGTCGGGGCCGCAGCAGAGCGTGCCCCGGCGCCCAGGCGCTGGAGCAGCCAGGGCCCAGCCGCCCCGGCCAAGGGTAGGGGGAAGCCTGTGCCACCCTGCTCTTCTCACTGCTGCCACCGCTGCGCTCCGCTCTGGGGACCGGGACGCTCCAGACCAACGCGTTACTTCATTGTCCAGCAGAGACTGATTTGTGTACTTTCCACCTGATGCACTGGGAGTATTTTCATTAAAGAATTTGTCTTGCTTTGTTAATTAAAAGCAATTGCTATCTAAGCACCAGCTTTTGTAATGGAATTCGGGATTTAAGGAACAAAGCATCTTTTTTTCATTCGTAGTTTAAACCTCTGCGCAGCTAACAGAGAGTCATGCTTACTAAATGCTAAAATGAAAAAATACAAGTCCTCAGTGGATGAGTTTGGACTTACCAGTGCTCAACAGCAGTCATGGGCGATCCCAGAGCTGTGTCTCTCCCGGAGCCCAGGGCTTGTTCAGCCTTTTCCACCCCAGCTCGACACCCTCCGCAGCGTGAGAGCGCAGCACGCAGCGGCTTTTACCTGAGACGCCGGAGTGCAGGAT